GCAAAAATCACGACGTTTCGGCTACAACACAAGTAGCCTTCTTCAGGTGAAGGAACAGAACTGTCGGGACGACAGAGCTTCAGTGAACGCTGCTAAGATTCGTGGCGTCTTTTTAAGCTGGGTGAGAGAAGTGAGGCACCTTGACAAATGAGTTTACATATCAAACAGGAGAATTTAGCATTGAAATAGCTGAGGGATTAGCTTGTGACTGGTCGCAGAAATGGCTATGTTAAAGTCAAAGACTACACATCCACAGAGGCACCTAGTACAAATCAAACAGGAGAATTTAGCATTGAAATAGCTGAGGGATTAGCTTGTGACTGGTCACAGAAATGGCTATGTTGACGTCAAAGCCTACACATCCACAGAGGCACCTAGTACAAATCAAACAGGAGAATTTAGCATTGAAATAGCTGAGGGATTAGCTTGTGACTGGTCACAGAAATGGCTACGTTAAAGTCAAAGCCTACACATCCACAGAGGCACCTAGTACAAATCAAACAGGAAAATTTAGCATTGAAATAGCTGAGGGATTAGCTTGTGACTGGTCACAGAAATGGCTGTGTTAAAGTCAAAGCCTACACATCCACAGAGGCACCTAGTACAAATCAAACAGGAGAATTTAGCATTGAAATAGCTGAGGGATTAGCTTGTGACTGGTCACAGAAATAGCTATGTTAAAGTCAAAGCCTACACATCCACAGAGGCACCTTAGTACAAATCAAACAGGAGAATTTAGCATTGAAATAGCTGAGGGATTAGCTTGTGACTGGTCACAGAAATGGCTATGTTGACGTCAAAGCCTACACATCCACAGAGGCACCTAGTACAAATCAAACAGGAGAATTTAGCATTGAAATAGCTGAGGGATTAGCTTGTGACTGGTCACAGAAATGGCTACGTTAAAGTCAAAGCCTACACATCCACAGAGGCACCTAGTACAAATCAAACAGGAGAATTTAGCATTGAAATAGCTGAGGGATTAGCTTGTGACTGGTCACAGAAATAGCTATGTTAAAGTCAAAGCCTACACATCCACAGAGGCACCTTAGTACAAATCAAACAGGAGAATTTAGCATTGAAATAGCTGAGGGATTAGCTTGTGACTGGTCACAGAAATGGCTATGTTGACGTCAAAGCCTACACATCCACAGAGGCACCTAGTACAAATCAAACAGGAGAATTTAGCATTGAAATAGCTGAGGGATTAGCTTGTGACTGGTCACAGAAATGGCTACGTTAAAGTCAAAGCCTACACATCCACAGAGGCACCTAGTACAAATCAAACAGGAAAATTTAGCATTGAAATAGCTGAGGGATTAGCTTGTGACTGGTCACAGAAATGGCTATGTTAAAGTCAAAGCCTACACATCCACAGAGGCACCTAGTACAAATCAAACAGGATAATTTAGCATTGAAATAGCTGAGGGATTAGCTTGTGACTGGTCACAGAAATGGCTATGTTAAAGTCAAAGCCTACACATCCACAGAGGCACCTAGTACAAATCAAACAGGATAATTTCGCATTGAAATAGCTGAGGGATTAGCTTGTGACTGGTCACAGAAATGGCTATGTTAAAGTCAAAGCCTACACATCCACGGAGGCACCTTAGTACAAATCAAACAGGGGAATTTAGCATTGAAATACCTGAGGGATTAGCTTGTGACTGGTCACAGAAATGGCTATGTTAAAGTCAAAGCCTACACATCCACAGAGGCACCTAGTACAAATCAAACAGGAGAATTTAGCATTGAAATAGCTGAGGGATTAGCTTGTGACTGGTCACAGAAATAGCTATGTTAAAGTCAAAGCCTACACATCCACAGAGGCAACTAGTACAAATCAAACAGGATAATTTCGCATTGAAATAGCTGAGGGATTAGCTTGCGACTGGTCACAGAAATGGCTATGTTAAAGTCAAAGCCTACACATCCACAGAGGCACCTTAGTACCAATCAAACAGGAGAATTTAGCATTGAAATAGCTGAGGGATTAGCTTGTGACTGGTCACAGAAATGGCTATGTTAAAGTCAAAGCCTACACATCCACAGAGGCACCTTGTACAAATCAAACAGGAGAATTTAGCATTGAAATAGCTGAGGGATTAGCTTGTGTCTGGTCACAGAAATCGCTATGTTAAAGTCAAAGCCTACACATCCACATAGGCACCTAGTACAAATCAAACAGGAGAATGTAGCATTGAAATAGCTGAGGGATTAGCTTGTGACTGGTCACAGAAATCGCTATGTTAAAGTCAAAGCCTACACATCCACATAGGCACCTAGTACAAATCAAACAGGATAATGTAGCATTGAAATAGCTGAGGGATTAGCTTGTGACTGGTCACAGAAATGGCTATGTTAAAGTCAAAGCCTACACATCCACAGAGGCACCTTAGTACCAATCAAACAGGAGAATTTAGCATTGAAATAGCTGAGGGATTAGCTTGTGACTGGTCACAGAAATGGCTATGTTAAAGTCAAAGCCTACACATCCACAGAGGCACCTTGTACAAATCAAACAGGAGAATTTATCATTGAAATAGCTGAGGGATTAGCTTGTGACTGGTCACAGAAACCGCTATGTTAAAGTCAAAGCCTACACATCCACATAGGCACCTAGTACAAATCAAACAGGAGAATGTAGCATTGAAATAGCTGAGGGATTTGCTTGTGACTGGTCACAGAAATGGCTATGTTAAAGTCAAAGCCTACACATCCACAGAGGCACCTAGTATAAATCAAACAGGAGAATTTAGCATTGAAATAGCTGAGGGATTAGCTTGTGACTGGTCACAGAAATGGCTACGTTAAAGTCAAAGCCTACACATCCACAGAGGCACCTAGTACAAATCAAACAGGAGAATTTAGCATTGAAATAGCTGAGGGATTAGCTTGTGACTGGTCACAGAAATGGCTACGTTAAAGTCAAAGCCTACACATCCACAGAGGCACCTTAGTACAAATCAAACAGGAGAATTTAGCATTGAAATAGCTGAGGGATTAGCCTGTGACTGGTCACAGAAATGGCAATGTTAAGCTTAAAAAGACGCCACGAATCTTAGCGGCGTTCATTGAAGCTCTGTCGTCCCGATGGTTCTGTTCCTTCACCTGAAGAAGGCCGCTTGTGTTGTGGCCGAAACGTCGTTATTTTTGTTGTTTCATATATTTTTTTACCTACGTAGTGACTTTACCGAATAGAACCACAGAGTGTGGATCCTTGCAGTCACCAAATCTTCAAATCTAGAGTTGATGTGCCATCTGTTAGAAGAAGTACTGAAGGCGATCCGGAGTCTTGAGACCGGGGAAAGGCACCGGGCAGAGACGATCTCCCAAGCGAAATGCTGACAATGTTATTGATCGAGTGTGGGTCTCTGTGGGTCTCTGTGAGTGTGGGTCTTTGTGGGTCTCTGTGAGTGTGGGTCTCTGTGGGTCTCTGTGGGTCTCTATGAGTATGGGTCTCTGTGAGTGTGGATCTCTGTGAGTGTGGGTCTCTGTGAGTATGGGTCTCTATGAGTGTGGGTCTCTATGAGTATGGGTCTCTGTGAGTGTGGGTCTCTATGAGTATGGGTCTCTATGAGTGTGGGTCTTTGTGGGTCTCTATGGGTCTCTGTGAGTGTGGGTCTCTGTGTGTCTCTGTGGGTCTCTATGAGTGTGGGTCTCTGTGGGTCTGTGTGTGTCTCTGTGGGTCTCTGTGGGTCTGTGTGGGTCTCTGTGGGTCTCTATGAGTATAGGTCTCAGTCGGTCTCTGTGGGTCTCTGTGGGTCTCTATGAGTATGTGTCTCTGTGGGTCTCTGTGGGTCTCTATGAGTATGGGTCTCTGTGTGTCTCTGTGGGTCTCTATGAGTATGGGTCTCTGTGGGTCTCTGTGAGTGTGGGTCTCTGTGGGTCTCTATGGGTCTCTGTGAGTGGGGGTCTCTGTGAGTCTCTGTGGGTCTCTGTGAGTGTGGGTCTCTGTGAGTGTGGGTCTCTGTGAGTATGGGTCTCTATGAGTGTGGGTCTCTGTGAGTGTGGGTCTCTGTAAGTATGGGTCTCTATGAGTATGGGTCTCTATGAGTGTGGGTCTCTGTGAGTGTGGGTCTCTGTGAGTATGGGTCTCTATGAGTGTGGGTCTCTGTGAGTGTGGGTCTCTGTGAGAATGGGTCTCTATGAGTATGGGTCTCTATGAGTATGGGTCTCTATGAGTGTAGGTCTCTATGAGTATGGGTCTCTGTGGGTCTGTATGGGTCTCTATGGATATGGGTCTCTGTTGGTCTGTATGGGCCTCTATGGATATGGGTCTATGTGGGTCTGTGTGGGTCTCTATGAGTATGGTTCTCTGTGGGTCTCTGTGGGTCTCTATGAATATGGGTCTCTGTGAGTGTGGGTCTCTGTGAGTATGGGTCTCTATGAGTGTGGGTCTCTGTGAGTGTGGGTCTCTGTGAGTATGGGTCTCTGTGAGTATGGGTCTCTATGAGTGTGGGTCTCTATGAGTATGGGTCTCTGTGAGTGTGGGTCTCGGTGTGTCTTTGTGGGTCTCTATGAGTATGGGTCTCTGTGGGTCTGTGTGTGTCTCTGTGGGTCTCTGTGGGTCTGTGTGGGTCTCTATGAGTGTGGGTCTCTGTGGGTCTCTATGAATGTGGTTCTCTATGAGTATGGGTCTCTGTGTGTCTGTGTGGGTCTCTATGTGTGTGGGTCTCTGTGGGTCTCTATGAGTGGGTCTCTGTGGGTCTCTGTGAGTATGGGTCTCTGTGGGTCTCTGTGGGTCTCTATGAGTATGGGTCTCTGTGTGTCTCTGTGTGTCTCTGTGGGTCTCTGTGGGTCTCTATGAGTGTGGGTCTCTGTGGGTCTCTGTGGGTCTCTATGAGTGTGGGTCTGTGTGTGTCTCTGTGTGTCTCTGTGTGTCTCTGTGGGTCTCTGTGGGTCTCTGTGTGTCTCTATGAGTGTGTGTCTCTGTGTGTCTCTGTGTGTCTCTGTGTGTCTGACGTTCCGCACCACCACCCTTCGCTCTGCGTCTGCAGGCTCCGAGGAGAGGGACTCCACCTCGTGCTGCGTCTGCGTCCTCGCGAACCCCGCGGACTGCATGGCCCTGCTGGATGAGGGCAGCCGCGAATGTCCGGGTAGGACGGATGTCCGCACCCCACACACACACACACACGTGGCCGCGGTGATGTCACGTGTGTGTGTGGTGATGTCACAATGTCCCAACACACACACACACGTGGCCACGGTGATGTCACGTGTGTGTGCGGTGATGTCACAATGTCCCCACACACACACACACACGTGGCCGCGGTGATGTCACGTGTGTGTGCAGTGATGTCACAATGTCCCCACACAAACGTGGCCGCGGTGATGTCACGTGTGTGTGTGGTGATGTCACAATGTCCCCACACACACACACACGTTGCCAGCGGTGATGTCACGTGTGTGTGTGGTGATGTCACAATGTCCCCACACACACACACACACACGTTGCCGCGGTGATGTCACGTGTGTGTGTGGTGATGTCACAATGTCCCCATACACACACACACGTGGCCGCGGTGATGTCACGTGGTGTGTGCGGTGATGTCACAATGTCCCCACACACACAAACACGTGGCCACGGTGATGTCACGTGGTGCTGTGGTGATGTCACAATGTCCCCACACACACACACACACGTGGCCACGGTGACGTCACGTGTGTGTGGTGATGTCACAATGTCCCCACACACACACACACGTGGCCGCGGTGATGTCACGTGGTGCTGTGATGTCACAATGTCCCCACACACACACACACACGTGGCCGCGGTGATGTCACGTGGTGTGTGCGGTGATGTCACAATGTCCCCACACACACACACACGTGGCCGCGGTGATGTCACGTGTGTGTGCGGTGATGTCACAATGTCTCCACCCCACACACACACGTGGCTGCGGTGATGTCACGTGGTGCTGTGATGTCACAATGTCCCCACACACACACGTGGCCACGGTGATGTCACGTGTGTGTGTGGTGATGTCACAATGTCCCCACACACACACACACACACGTGGCTGCGGTGATGTCACGTGGTGTGTGTGGTGATGTCACAATGTCCCCACACACACACACACGTGGCCGCGGTGATGTCACGTGTGTGTGTGGTGATGTCACAATGTCCCCCCACACACACACACACGTGGCCGCGGTGATGTCACGTGGTGCTGTGATGTCACAATGTCCCCACACACACACGTGGCCACGGTGATGTCACGTGTGTGTGTGGTGATGTCACAATGGCCCGACACACACACACACACACACACGTGGCCGCGGTGATGTCACGTGGTGTGTGTGGTGATGTCACAATGTCCCCACACACACACACACACGTGGCCGCGGTGATGTCACGTGTGTGTGTGGTGATGTCACAATGTCCCCACACACACACACACACGTGGCCGCGGTGATGTCACGTGGTGCTGTGATGTCACAATGTCCACACACACAAACACGTGGCCACGGTGATGTCACGTGTGTGTGTGGTGATGTCACAATGTCCCCACACACACACACACACGTGGCCACGGTGATGTCACGTGGTGCTGTGATGTCACAATGTCCCAACACACATACACGTGGCCGCGGTGATGTCACGTGTGTGTGTGTGTGGTGATGTCACAATGTCCACACACACACACGTGGCCACGGTGATGTCACGTGTGTGTGTGGTGATGTCACAATGTCCCCACACACACACACGTGGCCACGGTGATGTCACAATGTCCCTCCACCTCTCTCCTCCCCTCTCACACTCCCCTCCACCCCCCTCCCTCCCCCCTCCCTCCCCCCTCCCCCTCTCTCCCCCCTTCCCCCTCCCTCCCCCCTCCCTTCCCCTCTCTCCCCCCTCCCCCCTCCCTCCCCCCTCCTTCCCCCTCTCTCCCCCCTCCCTCACCCCTCCCTCCCCCCTCCCTCTCCCCTCTCTCCCCCCTCCCTTCCCCCTCCCTCCCCCCTCCCTCCCCCCTCCCCCCTCCCTCCCCCCTCCCCCCTCCCTCCCCCGTCCCCCTCCCCCCTCTCTCCCCCCTCCCCTCTCTCTCCCCCTCCCTCCCCCCTCTCTCCCCCCTCCCCCCTCCCTCTCCCCTCTCTCCCCCTTCTCTCCCCCCTCCCCCCTCTCTCCCCCCGCCCTCCCCCCTCCCTCCCCCTTCTCTCCCCCCTCCCCCCTCTCTCACCCCTCCCTCCCCCTTCTCTCCCCCCTCTCTCCCCCCTCCCTCCCCCCTCTCTCACCCCTCCCTCCCCCTCTCTCCCCCCGCCCTCCCCCCTCCCTCCCCCCTCCCTCCCCCCTCCCTCCCCCCTCTCTCACCCCTCCCTCCCCCTTCTCTCTCCCACTCCCTCCCCCCTCCCTCCCCCCTCCCTCCCCCCTCTCTCCCCCCTCCCTCCCCCCTCCCTCCCCCTCTCTCCCCCCTCCCCCTCCCTCCCCCCTCCCTCACCCCTCCCTCTCCCCTCTCTCCCCCCTCCCTTCCCCCTCCCTCCCCCTCCCTTCCCCCTCCCTCCCCCTCCCCCTCTCCCTCCCCCCTCCCTCCCCGTCCCCTCTCTCCCCCCTCCCCTCTCTCTCCCCCTCCCTCCCCCCTCTCTCCCCCCTCCCCCTCCCTCTCCCCTCTCTCCCCCTTCTCTCCCCCCTCCGCCCTCTCTCCCCCCGCCCTCCCCCTCCCTCCTCCTCCCCCCTCCCCTCCCCTCCCTCCCTCCCTCCCCTCCCTCCTCCCTCCCTCCCTCCCTCCCTCCCTCCCTCCCTCCCCTCCCTCCCTCCCTCCCTCCCTCCCTCCCTCCCTCTCCCTCCCCTCCCTCCCCTCCCTCCCTCCCCTCCCTCCCTCCCTCCCTCCCTCCCCTCCCTCCCCTCCCTCCCTCCCTCCCTCCCCCTCCCTCCCTCCCTCCCCTCCCTCCCTCCATCCCCTCCCCTCCCTCCCTCCCTCCCTTCCTCCCTCCCTCCCCTCCCTCCCCTCCCCTCCCCTCCCTCCCTCCCCTCCCTCCCTCCCTCCCTCCCCTCCCTCCCTCCCTCCCTCCCCTCCCTCCCTCCCTCCCTCCCTCCTCCCTCCCCTCCCTCCCTCCCTCCCTCCCTCCCTCCCTCCCTCCCTCCCTACCCTCCCTCCCTCCCCTCCTCCCTCCCTCCCTCCCTCCCTCCCTCCCCTCCCTCCCTCCCTCCTCCCCTCCCTCCCTCCCTCCCCCTCCCCTCCCTCCCTCCTCCCTCCCCTCCCTCCCCTCCTCCCCCTCCCCTCCCTCCCTCCCCTCCTCCCCCCCTCCCCTCCCCTCCCCTCCCCTCCCCTCCTCTCCCCTCCCTCCCTCCCTCCCTCCCCTCCCTCCCTCCCCTCCTCCCCTCCCCCTCCCCTCCCCCCTCCCTCCCCCCTCCCTCCCCTCCCTCCCTTCCTCCCTCCCCTCCCCCTCCCCTCCCTCCCTCCCCTCCCTCCCTCCCGCCCTCCACTCCCTGCCTCCCTCCCTCCCTCCCCTCCCCTCCCTCCCTTCCTCCCCTCCCTCCCCCTCCCCTCCCCCTAACCATCCCCTCTCCTCCCCTCCCTCCCCCTCCCTCCCTCCCGCCCTCCCTCCCCTCCCTCCCCTCCCTCCCCTCCCTCCCTCCCCTCCCCCTCCCTCCCTCCCTCCTCCCTCCCTCCCCTCCCCCTCCCTCCCTCCCCTCCCGCCCTCCCCCCTCCTCCCCCCTCCCTCCCCCCTCCCTCCCCCTCTCTCCCCCCTCTCTCCCCCCTCCCTCCCCCTCCCGCCCTCCCCCCTCCCTCCCCCCTCCCTCCCCCCTCTCTCCCCCCTCCCTCCCCCCTCCCGCCCTCCCCCTCCCTCCCCCCTCCCTCCCCCCTCTCTCCCCCTCTCTCCCCCTCCCTCCCCCCTCCCGCCCTCCCCCCTCCCTCCCCCCTCCCTCCCCCCTCTCTCCCCCCTCTCTCCCCCCTCCCTCCCCCCTCCCGCCCTCCCCCCTCCCTCCCCCCTCCCTCCCCCCTCTCTCACCCCTCCCTCCCCCCTCTCTCCCCCCGCCCTCCCACCTCCCTCCCCCCTCCCTGCCCCCCTCTCTCACCCCTCCCTCCCCCTTCTCTCCCCACTCCCTCCCCCTCCCTCCCCCTCTCTCCCCCCTCCCTCCCCCCTCCTTCCCCCCTCCCTCCCCCCTCCCTCACCCCTCCCCCCTCCCTCTCCCCCTGTCTCCCCCCTCCCTTCCCCCTCCCTCCCCCCTCCCTCCCCCCCTCCCTCCCCCCTCCCTCCCCCCTCCCCCCTCCCTCCCCCGTCCCCCTCTCTCCCCCCTCCCCTCTCTCTCCCCCTCCCTCCCCCTCTCTCCCCCCTCCCCCTCCCTCTCCCCTCTCTCCCCCCCTCTCTCCCCCCTCCCTCCCCCCTCCCTCCCCCTCCCTCCCCCTCCCTCCCCCTCCACCCCTCCCTCCCCCCTCCCTCCCCCTCTCTCTCCACGCCCTCCCCCCTCCTCACCCCTCCCCCCTCCCTCTCCCCTCGCTCCCCCCTCCCCCTCCCTCCCCCCTCTCTCCCCCCTCCCTCCCCCTCCCTCCCCCCTCCCTCCCCCTCCCGCCCTCCCCCCTCCCTCCCCCTCCCTCCCCCCTCTCTCACCCCTCCCCCCTCCCTCCCCCCTCCCGCCCTCCCCCCTCCCTCCCCCTCCCTCCCCCCTCCCTCCCCCCTCTCTTCCCCCTCCCCCCTCCCTCCCCCCTCCCTCCCCCCTCTCTCCCCCCTCCCTCCCCCATCCCGCCCTCCCGCCTCCCTCCCCCCTCTCTCACCCCTCTCTCCCCCCTCCCTCCCCCCTCCTTCCCCCCTCCCTCCCCCTCCCTCCCCCCTCCCTCCCCCCTCCCTCCCCCCTCCCTCCCCCCTCTCTCCCCCCTCCCTCCCCCCTCCCTCCCCCATCCCTCCCCATCCCGCCCTCCCCCCTCCCTCCCCCCTCCCTCTCCCCTCTCTCCCCCCTCCCCCCTCCCTCCCCTCTCCCTCCCCCATCCCGCCCTCCCCCCTCCCTCCCCCCTCCCTCTCCCCTCTCTCCCCCCTCCCTCCCCCCTCCCCCTCCCTCCCTTGTCCCCCTCCCCCCTCCCTCCCCCCTCCCTCCCCCTCCCTCCCCCTCCCCCCTCCCCCCTCCCTCCCCCCTCCCTTCCCCTCCTCCCCCTCTCTCCCCCCTCCTGCCCTCCC